CAAAGAAGCTTTATTATGAGCGGTCTTCCTTTCATAAAGACCTTCCAACTTCTTCCACAATTCATAAGGGTCAGACTCTTGTGACACATGATTGAATATGCTAATATCAATCCATTGCCTAATCGTCCCCAAAGTCTACCTTTTCAACTTTTCCCAATCTTTAACATCCAATTTATCCGGTTTAGATGGTTTGGAAACACTACCATCTGGATTAATGATAAATTCAATTGGGTTAAACAAGTCCTTGCAATATAATAAGTCTTCCATCATAGGTCTCCAAATTGAATAATTAGTTGATGTCAATTTAACCATCGAGCTACTACTACTCGACTCCATAATGTGATTAAAATAACCACGACTCTGATACCAAGTTGTAAGGATCGGAAGAGGTCACTACGACACTCACTAAATTACCAACTCAAGACAATAAACCAAATATCCAAACCAATCAACCCAAAATATCACACAACAAGAATATTAAATATGGACATCAATATTTCAGTCACAAAGCATCAATAATAAGCGGAATAAGATGCAAGCAACACACACGGATTATACGTGGAAAACCCCTTCGATGTGAAGGATAAAAACCACGGGACCTCTTGAGGAGTCCACCCTTAATATTCTCTTATTGATGATAAAATTGAGGGTAAAATGAACCCAATGTAGTTCAAAACAATTCACAGCCCACCAACAACAATAAACAATAAGAGTTGAAAATTAGAGACCAAAAAATGTAGAATTCACCCAAAAGACAGCAGTTCTGTCCAGAGACGACTGTGACCAAACTAGAGCTCAAAACAAAAATCCAACCGTCCAAAATGAAGCCCTTGATGTCAGGAACAAGCTGCCAAATTTTGAGCACGATCCAACGGTAAAAACTCTGGCAACAGCCATTTTGTAAGGCTTCCCAGAAAAACTCCGAAGTTGGAAAACCTGACTTCTCTCTCTATTTTTGTGTGTGTGTGTTCTGAAAATCTGCACTCACACTTGGTCACTTGTTTACCACAAGATTTCCCCTCTAAATCTTCCAAGAGAAGCCACAACTTAAGTCCCTAAATTGGACTTAATTCAAGCTAGTAAAATGTAATAAAAATGGACCAAGTAAATGGACCAAAACAAGATACATTTTACTTAAATTAGGTTGGACCCATAACACTGATGAGGTTGTTGCTGTTAACCAAGCCATCATTATTGTTGTAGCTGATGAATTTGCTGCTGTTAACCAAGCCATCATTATCATTGTCGTAGCAGATGAGGTTGTTGTTGTTAACCAAGCCATCAATATTATTGTCGTAGCGATGAGGTTGCTGTTGTTAACCAAGCCATCAATATCATTTTCTTAGCAGATGAGGTTGCTGCTGTTAACCAAGCCATCATTATCATTGTCTTAGCAGATAAGGTTGCTGCTGTTAACCAGGCCATCATTATTATTGTCGTAGCTGATGAGGTTGCTGCTGTTAACCAAGCCATCAATATTATTGTCGTAGCAGATGAGGTTGTTGTTGTTAACCAAGCCATCAATATTATTCTCGTAGCTGATGAGGTTGGTGCTGTTAACCAAGCCATCAATATTATTGTCGTAGCTGATGAGGTTGTTGCGGTTAACCAAGCCATCATCATTGTCGTAGCTGATGAGGTTGTTGTTGTTAACCAAGCCATCAATATTATCGTAGCAGATGAGGCTGTTGCGGTTAACCAACTCGTAATCATAACGTACAGAATGGTAACTGTTGTTGGTGACAGAGAAGGTGTTCGAGCTACTGTTGGAGAGTTGTTCATTGTTAATTTCTTGCTCGTGGCTATTGATGTTTTCCTCCACATTAGATTCTACCACTTCTTTATTTTCTTCTGCAACTTGTGCATCTTGTATTTCTTTCTTGGCTCCTTCATGGTAGTAGATTCTACATAGCACATAATCCAACTGTATCTCATCCACAACAAAAATAAATTAATTATTTCCGTTAATTTTAGTTGCAGCAAAGGGGTATTATTGTTATACTAAAAATTAATGATAATAATAATAATAAGGATGGGAGAATTATAAGCGTACATACCCTCATACTAGTATTGGTTTCTTGTGGATGATCTCGTTTCCTCTTAGGTATTAATTTGGGTTGATCAGCGACTCATAACTCCAGCATATGCCATTGCGTCTTCTCATTATTATTCTCTTTCTTATCCTTTTTATTATTGTTAGGTTTTCCTTTGAAATACACTAAAGACTTTTGGTGTCCGATCAACGTACCATCATCATCTATGATTGGGTGGTCTTTTCCGGTAGCCTTCCAAAATCCATCACCGGCTTTTCTGTCAGGACGACTGCCGTTCTGGTATTTTCTATTCTGTGATGTGAAAAAAATACCAACTTTTACTTTTTCCTTTTCCTTGTGGTATGAATCTGGCTGCAAGATTAATATTACAAAAACAAATTAATAATTAAACTTAAAAATAATATCATATCCTAAAAAGAAAGATATATGCCTATGGCAAGTACGTTTTTTATTTATTTTTTTATAACCCTAATTCGAACAAATTACTTAAATTTAAAAATTATCAGCGAACAAACTAGATCATACTCCGTTTAAATTTAAATTCAAAATTTGCTAAATTATGTACGTTTTATTTCTTAATAAATTAAGAAGTTGAGACAAATAAAATAAACCCTGGCCTGATTTTATTTACTAATATGTAGCACAAAATTTCATATGTGGTTGTCTACTCCGTGTGGCTAGGGTTACTTGGTCAAGACATACTTAGGTCAAGGGTTATTCAGTTACGTATACACAGAAAACGCGTTGAATATGTAATTTTAATTTGTGAAGGTCTAAAAAGTAAGAATTAATTTGGAAAATTAATAATTACGCACAAACAACAAAGAATAGAGTAAATAAACTACATGCTTTTGTGACTTTAGTTATTTTCGGCTTGCATACAAGAAGAAGAAAAAAATAATATTAGTAGTGCAATTGTACGTACCAGTGAGATCTTCAGGACCGTAGACATTGATATTGCCAACTTCATGTATGGGATTCATAGGCAAATCAAAGCCATTGATCTTGGGTTTGAGATAATGATTAATTAGTTCTTTTGTATAGGGTTCAAATTTGTAGCCGGGTGGAAGGTTATCGAACGATTCTCCAGGTTTTTCTTCCATAGCGTAGTATTAGAGGTTTAGAGAAAGAAAGTTACGTTGTTGATTAACTAATAACTGCGATAATCAAGATTACCATTATAATGTGTTTTCAATTCACTTTTATAGTAGGAGGTTGACCTTTGGCCAAGCATGCAACGTGAAGATAGAATTTTGATGAAATTTGACAAGGCCGTTTCAGAAATTTCGGTGGCTTGGGGCGAAGACATAAATTGGGGCCCTAATTTTCACATAAATATTTTGAAATAAAATAGAAATTGAGTAGGCAAAAAACTACATATTTTATTACGCATAATAATCTTTAAAAACATCAAATTTCATATAGATAAAACATTGAAATCAAAGCCTAAGTGTTCATATGAAAATATTTCTACGAGCCTTTCTAGATGCAAAGTCACTAATAATAGTTTCTAAATTAATATGTTCTAACATATTTTTCTCAATACATAAAGTAGCTAGACCATTCAACCTTTCTTGTGACATTGAAGATCTCAAGTAGGTCTTTAGTAATTTTAACTTTGAAAAACTTCTTTCAGCATATGCAACTGTCACCGGCATAGTTAATAGGATTCGATAGACAATAGAAACATTTGGATAACAATCCGCAGCTTTGACAAACTTAAGGATTTTAAATGCTGACATCAAATCATTTGGCAAAGTCATTTGTAACACTTTCAATTCAGAAAAAAGATCATCTGCATCAACATCCGAAAAATTATTATGAGTAAAGGTAGTCATAAAACTTGTGCAAGATTTTCATAAATCGTCATTATCCAATGATTTCAACCTTTTTGCATCGAATAAAAAACCAAAAATGTTATCAAATACCTCCAATTTCTCAAATCTATCTTTCAAAGAAGCTATTGCAATATCAACAACCACCGAAAAATAATTGACTCTAAAATATTCCTCGGGTGATTGTATTTCCTCATCATTATCGTCATTCTCATTCTCATCAAATTGTCTTTTTCTAGTGATGCGACGCTTTAATGGAAATGTTGGCTCTATATCTATATCAAGTGTAAGGATTTTGGCAGTATTTAAACTAGATTCAAACCCTTCTATTCTATATTTCTCAAAATATGTGATCATACCTTGCACTTCGTTCATGACAAGTCCAATACTCATGGATTTAGATTGCAACTTTTTACTCACAATGTTAATAGCAAATAAAATGTCATACCAAATTACCATGCCAAGTAAAAATTCAAAACTTGCAAGAGAATTAGCCAAACTTTCAGCTTCACTTTTTGTTTTAGCAATATTAGCGTCATCACCACTAGAATTATACAATTCCAACAAAGCTAATCTAATTTGAGGAGATTGAAACCTTATAGCTTTAACACTCTTAATTCGACTCTCCCATCTAGTATTGCACAAAGATTTAATAGTTAAACTTGGGACATTGTCAACTAAAATCTTCCACCTTTTAGTGGAATGTGCAAATAATGTGTATATACGTTGTACAATTCCAAAAATTGAAATAGCTTTAACACAAGAATGTGTCATATCAGAAAGAGCGAGATTAAGCACATGGCATATATAAAGCCCTTGGATTAATTTCAAGCAATCTCTTTTGAACCCCTTGATGTTTCCCTTTCATATTAGAGCCATTGTCATAACCTTGCCCCCTTACATCATCAATATCCAAATCAAGGGACTTACATACATCTAACAATACATTAAAAATTCCCAAACCAGAAGTATCATCTACTTTTAAGAATTCTAAAAAAAACTCTTCTATCTTGATTTTATCACTTGATACATTCACACATCTTACTATCAAAGTCATTTGTTCTTGATGACTCACATCAGGGGTACAATCAAGGATTACAGAAAAATATTTTTACTCTTTTATTATTTTTATCATTGAAGTCCGAGCACCATGAGATAAAATATAAATAAGCTCATTTTGAATTTGAGGACCAAGGTAATGTTTGTGAATTTCTTGGCTTTGAATACGTCTAACATGATCTTGCATTACCAAATCAAATTCAGCTATCATTTCAATTAAGCCCAAAAAATTACCATTACAATCATCATAAAGTTTTCCACTAGATCCACGAAAAGCTAAATTATTTTTAGCTAGACATTTCACAACAGAAACAATTCGAATTAAGACTTGCCTCCTACGCTCTTTTTCCTTTGAAATTGACTCTTGCAAGTCTTTATCAATGCCTTTATTCAATTCTAGTCTCACTCTTGTTTCATACCAAGTATTCATATTAGTCATATGCTCAACACTATTATCATGTAATTTGAGTTTCTCACCAAGATGTTTCCAATCATTCACACCATCACTTGTTAAAAAAGTTTTGTTATTTTGAGTTGTGAACAATTTACAGCAAAAACAATATACTTTATTAGCTAATTTTGAGTAAACCAACCATTTTCTATCAAAAGTCTTACCATTACTCAACTTCTTAGTGTAATAGGCATATGAAAAATGTCTTAATTTGTTATCAATTGGAAACACAAGGTTCAAATCTCTAAAAGGCTCTTTTTGTATCAAAATATCCCTTCCTTTAATGTCAAGATTACCCCAATTTTTAGGATCATAAATATCTAAAGGAGGGACTACTTGATCAATGCCAATATCATTAACATCGGATGTATTTGGTACATTCGTTGGTTCATTCATATTAGTCGCATCCTCATTAGGCTCATTTGCCTCATTATCACAATTTTCATTATTTATATTCTCATTAAATTGTTCATGATTTTCATTTTCACCCAATTCATTAGAAGACTCTACTACTTGTACTACTTTAGTAAAAAAATTGTCAATGGCACCCTTTTGAGACTCTATTAACTCTTCTGCCCGTTTTCTTTTTATCCTCTTATCATTACCGGATAAATATTTTCTAGGCAACATTCTATCAAACAAAGCCAATAATAAATTAATAAGTATAGAAAAGAACAAAAACACCTGATTATTTGACTTAGTACGCTCAATTTGCACTCCAAACCAATGTCATCTCAAGTAATCAAATCTAAAAAATAGAAAACAATTGAAACAAAAATATTTAGCTCTCGTCGACGGTCAAAGGACTAAAACAATTAATATTAATAATATATATGACACTATCCTATAAACAAACTCATATACTACTAAAAACGAAAATGTCCTCAAAGAATATTACGACTCGTATCCACAATCAAGACCATTCAAGTACTTTGTATTCATCACCTCAAAAACAACATCCTCATCATTTAACATTTTAACACTCTAGATTAAAAAAAAATTAATTATAAATTTATGATTATTTAAGAATGAAAAAGTATAAAATTAAAAAGTTAAATAAGAAATTAAGAATTAACCTTAGCAATCTAGCATTTTGATGAAATGATGATCCCGTATGCTATAGCTCTCGTCGACGGTCGAAAGACTCCAAGCAAATCAAGCACTCAGGGACGTAGAAAACTAGCAAATCAAGCAAATAAACAATTACTCCAATTAGAACAATCAGAGTTAATCAAAATTTTATCAAACGAACAACCGAAATATTATCAAACGAACCAATTCAACCGAAATTTATCAATTAGAACAGCCAAAATTTTATCAAACGAACCAATTCTACTTTCAACCAATTAAAGAATTAGATAGTTTTTTCCCCCAATTTTATAATTGAAAGAAATTGTAAAGATTATGAAAAGTTAATAGAAATGATAAATAAAGTAGAATATACAATAATACAAAGAGAATTATATATAATTAGATAAGTTTCCGTTGATAATTGATAAATTGAAGGATAAAATTACCGTTTAGCATAATCACGAAGGAGAAGGAAATTAATTTGAGATACGTTTTGAAGAACAAAATCGCCGACAAAAAGGGATGAAATTGAATTAATGACATTTTTTTTGGATTAATCAAAATTCACTTAGGAAAGTGAATATTTTGGGAGAAAAATAAGGGAAGAAGGAGGATGAACAACGAAGGCTTTTGGAATTCTTCTAATGTTCTGAAAGTCTGAACTATGAAACTCACGTTTTTTTTTCTTTTAATTTTTGTTTTTTTAAAAAGATAATTTTGGGGCCTTTAATAGATTTGAAGATGGGCTTTTGGTTTGGGGGCCCAGGGCGGTCGCCCCACCTGCCCTGGCCTTGCTATCGCCCTGAAATTTGATACAGATATAATTCTATAGATAATAGGATAAGATATAGTTAAATATCATTAACTAACCAACTAACCGAGTATAATACTTCCTCCGTTCTTTTTTATTTGACCCGCTTTTACTTTTACACTATTCACTACCCCTCCTTTGACCCTTTTTTGTGAGTAATATATAAGTAAAAACATATTCATGTGAGATCTTTTTTAATTCGTCTCAATAAGTACTATTATAATATATAGCTTTTATAATTTTTACTTGTGGAGAATTAAAATTATTGATTGTTAAAGTTTTGCATTAGCAAGCGTGATAAAAGAAACAGGTCAAGTAAAAAGGAACAAAGGAAGTATCTATTACTAGTTGAATTTTGTACAAATTCTATCTAATACTAGTATGGAACTTACGATAGGCTTAGCTTATTCAAATTAAATATGCAGAAATCCAAGAATCCGATCCACGCACAACTGATCCAAAATTTTGAATATCAGATGGGGATTTGGATATTAAATTTTCAAATTTTGAATATTTGATATGCGAAATATAAAGGCTGAAATAGTGAAATAGATATAATTTATTTTAAATTGTTCATATAAAACCGATCATGTTTTAGTTTATAATAACATTCTCATCAATATATTGATGATAATTTTAATTGCAAAAAGACTACAATTTTGTTAACATATGGTGTACAACTTAGCAATGAAAAAATAAAGTTAGTGAAATTTAGAAAATAATCATAATCAATTTTAATTAATATCGGATAATGGATATTCGAAATTTTCAGATCGAATTTGGATATCGGTTTTTGATATTTGAGTATTCGGATATCTAATGGTTAGTTCAAAATGTATCATGAATATATATTTAGTTCCTCAGCTAAAATGAACTACTCTAATAAAATTAATAAAAAAAAAATGTGTCTTAATAAAGTCACTTGAATAAAAGCCCTATATCGGCTGTATGTCATATGGAGTATAATCTAATATATATAAATAAAGTAGGCATTTTTGGAGAACATTCGGAGCGCCACGTAAGAAATATACTTATTTCGACAAATGATAACAGAGATTTATATTATATTTTTGAATTAAAAAATTATATCGCCACCTAGGTAAAGGTAACGAAATAGATTTAATATATCTAAAATTTTAATGCCACGTAGATTATAATCCACGAATTAAATTATTTTAATGGAAAAAAATAAAGTAAAATAATAGAAAAAGATAAATTCATTAAATCAATACTACGAGTATAAGAAATCCAAAAAAATATAGGAAAAGATAAATCTCCAAAAAGATATTTAATTGGGTTCAAATTATGAAAATATCCTACTATTCAAAAATTATCTTCACTAACTATACTTGGTGGAGAAATATGGTGGGTTGTGAAAATTATCTCCATGTAACTAAACTTGGTAGAGAAATATGATGGGTTCATATATTAATTTTTTTAATTTATGATATGGTGGAGAAATATAGTAGATTCAAATAGAAAAATACATAGCTATAATATGATAATTAATGAGTACATGTAGATATACATGGAATGAGAATATGACTTCATGATAACCCAATAAAATAAATAAAAAATATTCAAATGACAAACGATTATAATAAAGTTTGATACCTACCATTATAAGATAAATTTTAATAGTATTTATGATAAGAAATAAAATTGTTCATTAATTATAATTAAATAAAAATTTGTGATACCTACCATTATAAATTGACACATTATACGACACAAATAAAATTTCGTATCAATACAAAACCCCATCAAGTGAATTTTGTGTTAGTAATTTTGTGTCAGTTTTTGGTCATCAATGGTCGGGTAATTTTTAGCTTAATTTCTAAAATCCTTTGTTTAATTTGTATTTGTAATTATTACTTACACTGTGTTAATTTGGGATACTTAACGATTATATGTTTATGTTTTATTTACTAAATTTTGTTTTACATGCACATCTTACGCATCATATGACACCAACAAAATTTGTATCAATAAAAAACCCCATCAAGCGAATTTTGTGGTAGTAATTTTGTGTTAGTTTTAGGTCATTAATGTCCGAGTAATTTTTAAAATCCTATGTCTAAATTTATATTTGTAATTAGTACTTACATTGTATTTATTTGGGATACTTAAAGATTATTAGTTTATGTTTTGTTTACTGAATTTTGTTTTTACATGGAGATCTAATTTAATTATAGAATTAAATTCGAGCAAAAATGGTTGAAAAATCAAAGTACAAGTTTCTCGCCTATTTGACATACTAAATTTCTGTAAACAACATAGCTTAAAAGTTTGGATATGGTACTAAATTTGTAATTTAAGTGGCTTAATCAAGTTATTAAAATAACTTAATTTCTTATTTTTAATTATAGGGTGATTACGTTCATGCCTAAATTAACACCAGCTTTGTTCAACACTTTCATCCAAAATTGATTGAAGAAAAAGTTTACTTCTTTAGTACTTTTCAATTGTTCCAATCCAATGCCTTGATTTTTGTCATTATATTGATTTAATAAAAGTTTCATGCATGAATAAACATAGGGATGAACCGCATTTTCATTGCAATTAGTGGTCTTGATCTCATTGATGCAATTCATATCATACTACTTTTGATTAAAGATGTAACGGATGTATATTCTCCACGACATTGTAGACAAAATATAACAATGCGGAAGCTAGCTAATTGTTGACTAGCTTAGTTTAGTTACTACGAAATTTTATATTGAGCATTGTCAAGCATATGTGGTTGAAATTAATTTGTAAAGTACTTGATTTGATGCAACTATTCAAGTTAATTTTTTGGCTTTTATACATATATTTAATGCAACTATTTCAAATTAATTTTAAAAATTGTAAGAAGAAGTTAAGGCAAATGGCATACGATTTGATGTTGTATACTTATTATATGGATGACTTTCGTTATTATTGGAGATGATGAAAAAATTCCAATGCATAGATATGATTTTTATAATTACAATTTTTTGATCAATTTCGCAACAATTTTTTATTTATTAGTAAATATATTGATTTACTTTATATAAATGTAAAGATTTAATTTATATCAATTTTATTTTTGCTAACATAAACAATGAATAATAATTTAGGATTTAAATTATTTAAAAAATTAAAAATTTATCTTTTCACATTAAAGATTTAGGTAACGGATGAAATATCATACTTACAATTTATTTATATTTAATAAATTCAATTGTAATGAATAAAGTTGTATTATTACCGGTAGGTCTGAGTATTTCCCTAACTAGAAGAGCATCAAATCGTTTGCTCACTGAAGAAATTACAGTAAAAAAAAAATTAAAAATTAAAATTTAACTTTTGTAATTTTGTTTGAAATTATTAAATACAATAAATCAAATAATTAAAAACCTTAGATAAAAAAAACTGTGATAAATTTATTAATTAGTACTACGAGTATAAGAAATCCAAAAAAAATATACTAAAAAAATATTTAAATGATAAACGCTTATAATAAAGTTTGATACCTATCATTATAAGATAAATTTTGATAGTATTTATGATAAGAAATATAAATTGTTCGTTAATTATAATTAAATTAAATTTTGTAATACCTACCATTATAAATTGACACATCATACAACACAAACAAAATTTCGAATCAATAAAAAACTCTAATTATTAATTTTCTGTTAATTTTTTGGTCATCAATGGCTAGGTAATTTTTAGCTTAATTTTTAAAATCCTATGTTTAAATTAGTATTTCTAATTATTACTTACATTGTATTAATATGGATACTCAACGATTATATGTTTATGTTTTATTTACTAAATTTTTTTTCCATGCAGATCTAACACATCATACGACACAAATAAATTTCGTATCAATACAAAACCCCATCAAGCCAATTTTTTGTTAGTAATTTTGTGTTAGTTTTAGGTCATCAATGTCTGAGTAATTTTTAAAATCTTAAGTTTAAATTTATATTTGTAATTATTAGTTACATTGTATTTATTTAGGATACTTAACGATTATTTGTTTATGTAATGACATATGATTAGATGTTGTATACTTAATATATGGATGGCTTTGGTTATTTTTGGAGATGATGAAAAAATTCAAATGCATAGATTTTTTTTATATCGCAACAAATTTTCATTTATTG